AACCATTGAGATGGTAGGGTAAGGCAATGGATGACCTTGGAGGTTCAACTTTTGGGTCGAGATTAGACCTGGTGCTCGGTGTTAAAAAGGGATATGAGGAATGGAGCTGAGGCTTATGTTTTTTAGATGTCTGAGGACACTCTGAGCAAGAACAATTATTCTCTTGTGTCTTACGGCAGAGTGTTGAGAATTCATTGTTCAGGTGGGTTCCGATAGTAGTTTAGTGGATGAGCCCTCATGGGACGTGAAACCTTCCGTTCCTTGGGGCATGATTCGGATCGTTGCTATGTTTGGTATGAGTGATCGGTAGCCAATTGTTGAATTATGTCTGGAGAGAATCAGAGGGGCAGTGAGTTATCAGGGTTTGTTATTCGAGGGGCGAATAATGTAGAGATATCTTGAGTGGACAGTCTGGCGGCAGGCCAGGCCACTAGAGCTTCCAGATTTTTGGGAGGACAGAAAGGGGGTATCTTAGCGACAGAAGGGTCAGTTTTGTATTTTGGACTTCCGGTTTGGTTTCAGGTATCCATAGAAAAGATATCGGTGGGGTATGAGGCCTTTTTCAGTGGTGTTTCCCGAGTTATAGGTTCGAAACCATGTGTGGAAGAAGAGCGATTTTGAGGGCGAAATCAAATTAAGTGGGGGAGAACTATAACATCCGGATTTCTAGGTATGGTAATTTGAGTATTTATTTATGAGATATGAGGAGTGACTCGACGAGTTGACGCCTCAACTTGTCGAGTAGGGTTGCGACTAATGACTCAGATTAATGAAGGGACCCGACGAGTCGGTGAGTTGACTCGACGAGTCAGCACTGTGGACAAAAACCCTAAATCTTTAGGCATGTGACCTATTTAAGGGTCCTTATGGCCTTCATTTGTAGCCACACACACACTTGAGAGATCCTATCGAACCAGAGAGCATATATATATATATATATATATATATATATATATATATATATATATATATATATATATATATATATAGAGAGAGAGAGAGAGAGAGCAAGGGAGCTAATTACATCACCTTAGTGCATTCTTGCAAGGAAGAAGGAGGAGGTTCGATCTAGGCTGACTTGAGGGACTTAGATCTTCTACCAATTCATCAAAAGTTGCTTCTTAAGGTATGAATCCATGCCTATTTTCGTATGAATAGTAGATCTCTTCAACCTAGGGTTTCTTTACCCCTTTTTAGTTGAGTTATGGAATATGTGGAGTCCGTTTGAGGCATATATATTAGATCTGGACATTGAGAGGTCCAGAGAGTCCCAATAACCTAGCTTTATGCAGTCACATGAGAGTATTGAGCTTAAGACACCATTATAAGGGTTATTTTATCAAATAGAGCTAGATGTGTGGTGCATGGATATCAAGATTGAACCTTTACGTGGCTCTTGGGTGCTAGGATGCCATATCTATAAGTTAGAGAAACAGATTTGACCTCAGAAGGTCAAATGAGTATTACCATGAAGGAAACTCGCCGAGTCCATTAGAGGACCCGACGAGTCGGATCGGGTTGCCCCGTGATTTGTGACTAGTGGTAACCCGTCGAGTTGGGAGGTTAACTCAACGAGTCAAGTGGGGCCTTAGAAGGATTCAGAGGATATGCATGAACTCGCCGAGTCACACGAGTGCACTCGGCGAGTTTAGTCAAAATTGGACCGTTGTCTGGAGTTGACTTCAGTTGACCTTAGGGTTTGGTCAAACTGAATAAGAGGGGTCAGGGAGGGGTAGAATGGTCTTCTACCCATCCTCTAGATATAAGGATGTAAGGAGAGTATTGATTAGAATTATTATCATTGTGCTAGGCGGAGGCTAGATCGAGGATATCGAGCATGAGAGTTTACTAGACATCTTACGAGGTGAGTCTTCTCACTATACATTACCTAGAGTGGTATCTATGTGCAGACCGGAGGGTCTTATGTTTATGTGTATGTTTGAGATTTATGTGCATTGTCTTATATTTATGCTATGTGTTATATAGACCGGACCATAGGGTCTAACGACCCATGAGGCCAGAGGGTCCTCGATCAGACCGGACCGGAGGGTCCAACAATTTAAACCGAACCGGAGGGTCCAACGAGCTACGGGACTGGAGGGTCTCGCTGAGATACATTGACCAAAGGCTCATACCGAGTTATAGCCTCGAGTGGCTTATGTGTTGTTTGTGGTAGTTTTGGGAACTCACTAAGAAATTATGCTTACCGTGTTATGTGATATGTGTTTCAGGTACTATCGAGGATCGCAGGAAGGTACCCTCTCCATATATGGTTAGTTCTCCCCACTTGGGGTTCGAACCTCCACTTGATGTCTCTCGCAATCAATAAAAGCTCCAAACCTGCTCAACCAATCTATCCATATAATTATGCGCACGTCTCCCATAGGGATGAAAATCTAGTCAATTAGGTAGGACACCCCAAATATCTCCAAAATACAGTAACAAAAGACACTCGAAGCAGAAACATTTGTTCGTTGGCAGTGGAAACTCACAACAGCCACTCCAACTCCCCAAGAGGTATCAAAACTCCTGCTAAAGGATTGAGATACAAATAACCGACTCGCACCTAAAGGATTGAGATACAAATAACCGACTCACACCTGAATAAAAAAGAACTAGAGCATGTAGAGAATTTATTAAAAGATACCTAATAGAAACATAAATATAAGCATACAAAATACATGAATGCTCTCAAACGTCAAACATGAATAGACAATAAAACATGCAAAATCTAAAATATTCACTAAGGCCCCGTTTGATACACATATTTTCAAGTCCAAACAGATCTTTCTGGCTGAATGGACCGGAAAGACTGTTTGATTTGCACATATTTCCTAGTCGCTAATATCTATGTTTGAAAGGCTGTTTTGTGATAGTGCTACACATAACAAACTCTCTCCATCTAGCCATAGCCATCATTTTGCAACCCCATTGTTGTCAATTTTAACCCCTTTTTCGGAAGCTTTTGTTCACGATTGAAGCTACATACAAAACCCACTTAAAAATTAGCAAATGTTTGTGCTTTCTAAGCCCATTTATTTAAGTTACGTATTTTTTTTTCTACATCTATTCTTGTTTGTAACAAGAAATGCAGTTGACATGGTTCAGAAAATACGTATGTAAAGGATTTCAAGTTGAAATAAGTATGCCAAGTTGACAATGTCATGTATACAACACTTGTTTGGATCATCATCACATACTTGTACCTTCTTAAGTCGTGTGACACCATCTTCTACTATGATTCTAATGCCACTCTTTCTAAGATTTCTATTACAACATGTAACATCCGGATTTTACCAGGTATAATGTAAGTTTAATTGTGTTATATTGTGAGAGGGACTCGGCGAGTCGGGGCTCAGACTCGCCGAGTAGGGACGCGGGATTGATCGAGGGTGCGCACTTGGACTCGGCGAGTCCAGGGTATGGACTCGGCGAGTCTGCGCTGTGTTATGAAACCCTAAATCTCCGGGTTTGTGGCCTATTTAAGGGGCCTTATGGCCGTCATTTGCGCTCACCCAACCCCCAGAGAGTGTCCCTAGAGTTCTTGAGCGTTTTGTGAAGGAAAGAGAGCCAATCTTGATCTTGTGTGTGTTGTTTAGCAAGAAGAAGGAGGCCCTAGGCAAGAGGAAGCAAAGGAGGTTGCTATTTCGTGGATTGGAGCTTGGATCATCACTCTAGAGGTATTATTTTCGGACCATTTTCTGTTTGGTGAAACTTGATGCAAGTTAGGGCTTAATATGATCATTTATGGGGTGATTTGGTGCCCTTTGGTTCCCTCTTTGAGTTGAGACCATGGATCTGGATCCATAGAGGTCCAGAGGGCCTCACTCATCAAGCTTTATGGGTGGAAATGGAGTCCTTGGCCTTGTGTTGAAGTAGTAGAGTCAAAAACATCATTTGTGATCATGTAGAGGTTATTTATGCATCAAGATTGTGACTTTACGTGCTAAATAAGCATGGGGGGACTGGATCTATGGGTTAGTGGACTGGATCTGGCCTTTAGAGCAAGATTGAGTCAGTGCATGGCTCTGACTCGCCGAGTCCGAAGAGCAGACTCGGCGAGTAGCTTGAATGCTGCACGACCACTCAGCGAGTGGCCTCGCCGAGTTGGGATGAGTGAACTCAGTGGGTCAAGGGGGAGTCAGGATGGACAGGTGGACCGAGTCAAACCGGACTCGCCGAGTTGTTCTTGAGACTCGGCGAGTTGAGTCGTGGTGGCCCCACAACTCGTGCCAGGTGGAGCTCGTCGAGTTGGGAGGGGATGCTCGACGTGTCAAGAGAGGATTCCAGGGAAATTGGTGAATGCGCTCAGACTCGCCGAGTCGCTATAGTGCACTCGCCGAGTCCGGTCAAGTTGACTGTTGACCAGCGTTGACCTAGATTGTCCTGTTATGGTATGGTCAACCCTAGTTGGGAAAGTGTTAATTAGAGATATATTGTGCTATAGGGGGACTTCAGCTCGGCAGATCGAGTGTTTAGCGATTTCAGGGTTACGGTTTACCGAGACACACGAGGTGAGTCTTCTCACTATACTTTACCTTGAGTAGGTAACCAGAGTTATGTGATAGAGTATTTGTATGCTATGCATGTTATGTGTTGTGTTGCATTACTTTTATGTGTTTGATGCTGTGCATGTTTACAGAGTTAGAACCGGAAGGTTCACAGAGTTAGAACCTGAGGGTTCACAGAGTTTGGGTGCACGGACCCACAGAGTAATAGCCTCGAGTGGCTAATATGTGTTATATGCAGTATTTTGGGAAACTCACTAAGCCTTGTGCTTACAGTGTTGATGTTATTTGTTTCAGGTACTAGTGACGACCGTGGGAAGGCACCGGCTTGATCCGTACACACACGTTTGGAGCTTGACATTCTGATCTTGGGATTTTGTACTATTTTGTTGAACAATTAAAAAGGGTTATTTCTATGAATATTGATGGAATTATGTTTTATAAAAATTGAAAATTTTATTTGAAAAATTAGTGTTACACAACATCATATTGGCTAACAAGTCCTAAATAATACCATTGTTGGAAAATAATCTCATGTTATATTAAGATCTAAACAAGCCATCCGTTTTCTCTTGTTGGAAATCACTGAGAAACTTCACAACTCACAAGGCCTCAGAAACATGGTTATTGGCGATTTCCATTACAGGACAAGTGCCAAAAGGATGCAGCCTGATAAAAAGAAGAAAGAATGAGAGACTAGATGAGTGTATAATCTCATGAACATCTACTTTCATATCATTAACCATGCACATTACCTGACCATTGCCTAATTTGGAAAATACACAAGTATTCTTCCTCTTTTTGTTGCAGGGTGTGGTCACTCTCTCTATAGTGCAATCTTCTTCAACAAAGTTTTGATCTATTACCTCTGCAATGTCAGAAAGTAAGACCAAATTATGAATTAATGATTCTGATGCCATCTAACATAACACACACACATTGCATATATCCATCATCCGACCAATATGCACAAGCTACCGCGTATGTGTAGGCAAATCATATAGCAAAAACACACTTGCAAGTCATATAGCCTTTACTATTAATTAATGAATCTTGTAGTAAATATAAGGAAGAAATGTAAATAAGTACAATACATTTATGGATATAGCTGCTTGCACTATTTTTCTCTAGTGATTAAACCATTATTCTTATGTTAACCACTTTGAAAAAAAAATCAAAAAAAGAATTTTTCCTTGTTATTGGATTTTTGATCCGGGAAAAATATAGAAAACTGGAGTGTACTTTCATCATTTTATCGATTTAGCAACCAATCTATTATTATAATAATAATTTAAAATAATTGCTCAATAACCAAGTCTATAAGATGATGAAAGTACGTTGTTGTATTTTGTTAATATTTAGAAACCCAATTACCTGGAAATTTGTTTGTTTTAATTTGTTAAAAATATGTGTAATGGTTCAATCATAATACAATTTATTTAAGGGGAAATCTCCAGAAAAATCCTAAAATTTTACCCTAATTTACGAAAAAATCCTAAACAAAGATTTGTTTACGAAAAAGCATGATTTACCGGTAAAAATAGCGATTTAATCCTATTTTCCCGGTTTATCGGTTTCTTTATTTACATGTTTCATTAAAGTCCCATTATTTTATACTAATTTAGGAATAAGTCCCAAACTAAAATTTAGTGATAATTTGGCTCTTTTCTCCATGTAACATACATTTTACCGATTTTATCGCTGACCTGAATGCCTAATCATTAAATGAGCCGATGAGATGGATATGTTGGGTTATATAATGCTATGTTTACCATAAAACTTGATATCTTGATATATTGTATATTTTTTGGAATATAAAATGCATCCAACGAAGACTGTAATAATCACATAAACTAGCAGTAACTACGTTATTTATTATGTTTATAAGAAGTTTCAAATTGTCTATCTAATCTTATGCAACCAAATATATCCATCACATCAAACATCAGCTCATTTCCTGCCATTTTTTCTTGGAAACACACATTTTATTGATTTTATTGCTGACCTAGATATATAGCGATAAATGAACCGATGAGATGAATATCAAATTTTACACTAAATATAGTATTATATAACCCATCGTACCCATCTTATCAACTAATTTAACGACTACGTGTCTAAATCAGCAATGAAATCGACAAAATGTATGTTTGATGGAGAAAAGGACTATATCGCCAATTTTAGTTTGAGACTTATTCGTAAATTAGGGTAAAATAATGGGATTTATTCGTAAATTAGGGTAAAATAATAGGACTTTAATGAAACTGATAAGTAGTGAAACCGGTAAACTGGGAAAAAAGGGTCAAATCGTCGTTTTTACCGGTAATTCATGCTTTCTCGTAAAGAAATTTTAGTTTGGGACTTTTTCGTAAATTAGGGTAAAATTTTAGGATTTTTCTGAAGATTTCCCTATATTTAAGTGGCTAAATCGATAAAATGGTAAAAAAGACAAGTGTTCATTCGTTAAAATATATATTGGGTGAAGTTGCAAATACCTGTGTTACCATAACTTGTGTGGTGAGTTATTGTACTTAATGTCCCGTTTTCCTGGGGTGAAAGGGATTCCTTAGCTTTCCTAAAATGCTGAATCCATGGATTACTTGAAGTCACAATGGGTCTATCAGCTACATTCACAACCGAATTTTCTCTCCTGAAATCAATCCTTGACCAAGAGCCATGTTGTAGAACCTTAAACTAACAAACATATAAACAAAAAAATATATATATCTTAAGTAGGGAAAAAGAAAGATTACAAGTCGATAGATAAAAATCAAGATGCATCAATTCAAACCTCGCCAGAAGGATAATGGGTTCCAGAATGAACTTCCCTAGATGACTTTGTATTTAGCAAGAACTCGTTTTGGGTTTCCCCACATCGCATGTCCAATGAATTATATAACTGATAAACAAAAGAAGCTTCCATGGAATTTAGGTACAAATTATGCTTCTCATCAGTCCATTCTGATGGTTCTCTTTTCGGGGATTCCTGAGATTTTTTAAAAAGATTACTCAAACTCTATGATAATTATGTCGAAATCCAACAACCCTCACAATGACAGATAACGTCAAAGAAATGGGAACATAATACTAGACATGGAAAACTCAAAAATAGCAAAGTAGCAGAAAGTAAACCATGGTCCTCCATGGAGATTAATTTCACTAGCACATTTCTAAATTGTAAAATAGCAACAGAAAGAAAGAAAAAAATATATAATACATAAAATATATATAAACATGTCAATTTACTATCAAAGCCTTGCAGTCTTTTTATAAGCTTCACACTACTCCACCTTTTTGAGACATAATAATTCTAATTATATTAGACAACAAATCTAGCCCAAGCATTATATAAACTTTCGGATTTGCGTAATGGGCATTTGAATTAAGCACGACCCTAAATCCACGCAATCCATCTTGTGTGTCCGAATCTTAGCGGACCTCTCAAAGTTTTTGCCATCTTCTCTTGAGAAATTAAAGTTGGTTCAGATTTTAAAATTGAAAACTAACAAATTTAATTGAAAAGACTGGATCCTAATTATCTCCCCAATAACCAACATGTCGTTAGAATGATATTAAACAATCCCAAGAACAATACTACCAAAAAGTATAATAATTGTTATTATTCCAAATCAAACCTAAAAGCCACATTAACATTATAAAATTCTTAGAAAATCACCATTACAATTTACAATACAAAGATAAAACCCAAGAAATAAACACTAGTATGTGACCATATATATTCATAATGATAAAGATTCATACCATAATTGAACTCTCCTCCTGCTCGACAAAATTACTCAACCCCGCTTCGTCCCCCATCATCTGCGACGCCACCGAACATGGTGGCGCCTCCGTCACCGGCGGCGGAAGCGTATACTCCATATCAACAGAGAATAAAAAGAAGAATAAATGGCGGTGGTTGTGGATTTTGAGGATGAGCCAAAGAGTTTTGTTAAATGATTCGGGGAGCGCAATGAATAGAAGTGCCAGATGTCATAGCTTTTCCACATGGCATGGCGCCATGTCAGTCCGACGTTCATGTTTGACTTTAGATATTTTGCTGCGCGGCGGATTTTTATTTGTACGGTGTAGATATTTTTGCTGCTTCTCAAAATATCCACGCCTCCTATACTTTGTTCAAGTAATATCTTTTTGCCTCAGTAATTTATTTCAAAGACTAGTATTTAAGTATGCCACGGATTTTTTTTTTTTTTTTTCAGATAATAAAAACAAAAACTATAAAGACAAATTATGTAAGGGTTCAAAACCTAATTTTGATGTGCATTGTAATTTCTTTGCAATCTATATAGATATAAATGCGATTTTCGAGTGTCAACCGTTCATATATAACATGGAAATTATTAGATCATATAAAATGGATCATAAAAATATCAAAATAAAGTTTCGATCCAAAAAGTTGTATATGAAGAATACAAGTTGTATATATGAAGGATACAGACAAAAATAATTTGTAATTTGTATGTACAATGTAATTTAAAAATGTCAGTCCATATATATCATCACAACGATTATATCATATTAAGTGGAGCACAAAAGTATGAAAACAAAGTTTCGATCCGATGTTAATATTCTTTGTTATATACTTCTTTTATATCACAGCCTCATATTTATTTAAAAAATATCCGATATCAAGAAATCTACTATAATAAATGAAGGTTTTTTGTCACATGTCTTCTTCTCATTCATTTGGATACATGGTATTTTAAAAAAAATTTAAATTTTTTATTTTCCACTTGTCATTTTATTGTATTTTTCATTTTATTAAATTAAAATTTCACATTTAATGTGTAAGGTAATATATATGTAAAGTATTTATTAGAAAAAGTTTATATATGTAATGTATTCAATACATTAAAGTCTCATTAATTTTAATAATTCAATTTTTTGTTTCATTTTTCTTATAAATTCAAACTTTTTAAATTGTTAAAATTATATATATATATATATATATATATATATATATATATATATATATATATATATATATATAATTAAACCCATGTAATACATGGGTCTTACACCTAATCAAATAATAATTTGTAAAACATTTTGAAAGTCTTATAAAAAAAAGTAAGTTAACATAATATGCTTATATATTTAAGATGTTTAATAATTGCTTATTTTGTTGTTGTTTAAGTTATATCATACTTTTCAAAATATTACTTGAAAATAAGGTTTACATAATATATAGATTTAAAAAAAATGAAGAGTAAATTGCAAATTTTGTATATGTAATTTACGCTTTTCTTCGGATGAAGTCTAAAAAACATCTCAACTTCCATAGACATCCAAAACAAAAATAAAATATTGTGGAGAGGTTGTCGACATCACAAGGACTAATATACTTGTTTTGTTTATTATTAACATTTTTTTATGTTTATTAATATGTATGTAAATAAAAAAAGAAAAAAGAGCACACCACACCCCACTTTTAACCACTCAAGTTTTCATTCCCTTACCCGGCCCCCTCCTCCCTCTTCCTTATCTCCATTTGTCTTCTTTGGTGACCACTATTATTAGTCTTGGTGAAAACAATCACCGATACAGAAGACCCTAATCCAATGTGTATCTTAATGGGGCCTAAATAAAAACCTTTATAGGTGATGATAAATGAGACGACATATTGTGGCCTCAACAATCACAAATGAAACCAATATAACTGCTATTCTGTGTAAAAAAATCTTGACAAATCAAAACCAAAAGTTGGAATAGCCGAAATCTCCCGATTTGGTTTTTACGTTTAAAATAATATTCGGGAATATATAAACTTTAGATTTTCTGGGTAAGGACATCCACAATGCATTGAACCTCATAGATTTCAGTGGATTGTCACATTATTTTTCTACATTTCATACAACTCAATCAATTTTTTCCTGCAATGCATTAAACTCTACAAATTTCAATAGAAAATTACAAAAGCTAATTTATAGTATCTATATAAGATTTGAAAACTTTCCTTTTTTCCATTGAAAAGTTCAATGGTCATTCAACTCCAACTTCATTGAATGCCAATGTGACATCTGTGACAACCCGAAAAATTTGGATCATGCAAGGTCTAAATTGTAATCATGTGCAAGTGAACTCACAACATAGTTTGTTGCAATAAAACTTTGAAAACCAAGAGGGCATCGTTTGGATAAGTGTATATATAGGAATATATGCTTTGAAGATCATATTCGTAATAAACCTTTAAGATTCAACAAGTGACAGCATAACAAGACAAGTCAAATCAAATGGTAGGAACACAAATCATGAAACTAAAACATTAATTTATAGTTTAAGCCTATCACCCCCACAAAGAATGGGATTTCGGTCGACCTAAGATCGAAATCACCCTCCCATGAAGCAATAAGACCGAAAACCCCAAGCTACAAGCCCACTAAGGCCGAAAACTTATTTGTTAGAGGGGTTAGGACCGAAATCACAAAGGGAATAAGGTGATTTCGGTCATGTATGGCCGAAAACACCTCTATGACCCTTTCTAGGGTGATTTCGGTTTAGGGAAGCAGATAAGAGGTTTTGACTTTGTGATTTAGATGCTTTTCCTCTTTTCCCATGCTATATATTACCCAATAGTATTCCAAGTAATTAACCAACAGATATCCAAGTAAACATCCCATCATTTACCACCTTATCTTTGGACGAGATCATCTCCACAAACACCAACATTTCCATTTTATCTCTTATTACTCCATACTCTCTCAACAAGCATAACCAAACAACCTCCAAGTTCAAGTTCTCTAAGATTATTCTTAGATTCTTGGTAAGTATTCCTTCAAATCTAGTGTAATTATACACTTTTATGTTAGGTACATTATATTAAAGACTACAGTTCATATTCAAGCAAATATTGGATTTCCTAGAAACATACATTATCATTTTACAAGGAAAACATACAAAGGAAATAAATACATTTTAATCTTGGGTGTAAGACTTACAACTCATTTTTAAAGAAAATATCATATTTTCTAAAAGTTTACAAAATCATTTTACACAAAACCATTACAAATCCTTCTCATACAAAATGTTTATGAACTCACCAACTTAATTGTTGACACTTTCAAAATCACTTGTATTCTCAGGAAACCAGTAAACATTTATTCAAACCATTTTGAGGGAAGGCGTTGCTACATCATGAATTCTACTTTTCAGTTACTTGTATTTAACTTTTGGAATAAACAACGTTTGTAAACAATGTAAACTTGTAATCTCAATGTATGATGTTTTGGGTTGCTATGATTCATTTAAATTCAATCGTTATGATATTGTACAGGACGTCATCCACCCTCGGACGTTTCCATTGTTCCGGTTCAGGGGTGTGACAGATTGGTATCATAGCATTGTTTATAGTGAACTAGTATATCAAACCATACAAAGATATATATAACTATAAATACAATGGGGCAAAAACACTCTGACTACATATATACTTTTAAAAATTTAATAATATTTTTAAGTAAAGTATAAGTACATACAAGTTAGGGCAGTCTCATAACGAAAGCATAATAAAAGTAGTTTGATGAGTTGAAAACTACGGGTAGGGCTTGGGATATATAATTAAGACCTTGAATAAATATAGCCTGAGCAACTATATTTATCCGAGGTGTGACTAACACATGTTGGGAAATGGTTGTAGTGAACAACGAGTCTAACACTTACCAACACTAAGATATCAAGAATCAAACGCAAAATTTAAAATACTATAGGAGTATTGTAGGATACCATAAAAGGATACACTTAAACCCTCTATGTAGTTCTTATACCTCTATTCTCGCACAGACAACATGGTTGAATTTCACAATGAGGACCCCTACTACCCAGCCATGGCAGCCAACAGATGGATCAAGGAGAACCAGAAGAGGTTCATGAGGAGAACCCAGAATAGGGTCCTAAATAATACCAAGAGGTGGATTACAAGGAGGAGGCACTGATGAGGGGTCAGGAGAGGAGAAAAGCATTGGAGAAATTATTAGTGAACCTTACCCTATCAGGAGCAGGCAAGAGACCCTTTCACATCCTTCCTTCCAGGACGCGCCTCCACAAGGGGCAACCCAACTACATGCTTGGGCTAGAGGAGACGACCGACGATCCGCATTAGGCATGCACACACTGCACCATACTCTGGGCCCTAGCACCCTCACAAATCAAGCACTACCTCCAATTGTACCACAAATGGCCCGTCTAAACACCCAGGTTCGGGCTCTTCGTCATGAGGTCATGGAGATTGGAGGCGAAGCCCGGAATACGACAATACGAATTTGACGCCTCCGCGAAGAACAAAAACACCATTCATGAGCTATACTGAACCAGCAAGGAGAAAAAGAGAAAATTACAAACCGTCTACACTCCTTATAGGAGGAAGTGGCCACCATGAGGCAACAAATCCTTGTAGCTAAGGTTAGGGCAGCCTTAGCAGAACAAAGAGCGGAGGAAGCCTCTTGTGAAATGGTTGGGCACCTTGTGCAACATCATGGCATATGATAGACTAGTATAGCCGAGTAATTTAGTGACAACACTACTCACACTATATCTTAGGCTTATTGCATCTTTCATCACAACTAGTAGTAGTAAATCAAGAGAGGTACACTCTCCAAGACCCATGTAACCCAAAGCAACTTAATGTACTGACGACTATGTTCTATTTTGATAACTTAACATTCATATAATACCTACTATTTACCACCAAAAGTACATTTTGATGTTGTGATCGAGACATTTGGGAATCATACAACAAAACAGTTGGATTAGATACCTAAGCCCATAACTATTATTGGTATGTATTTGACCCAGGAGTAGCATGGTCCATTTGGGTTGCACTTCATCGGAACAATTTATATGGATAGTCTTTTGAGAATAGTATG